CACCACCATCAATATCACCACCACCACCAATATCACCACCACCATCATCACCATCACCATCATCATCACCAACTCCATAATCACCATCACCACCACCATCAATATCACCACCACCATCAATATCACCACCACCATCATCACCACCATCAATATCACCACCACCATCATCACCACCATCAATATCACCACCACCATCAATACCACCACCACCATCAATACCACCACCACCATCATCACCACCATCAATATCACCACCACCATCAATATCACCACCACCATCAATACCACCACCACCATCATCACCACCATCAATATCACCACCACCATCAATACCACCACCACCATCATCATCACCAACTCCATAATCACCATCACCACCACCACCAATATCACCACCACCACCAATATCAACACCACCATCATCACCATCACTACTGTACCACCACCATCATCATCACCAACTCCATAACCATCCCCACCACCAATACACCACCACCATCATCACCATCACTGCCACCACCACTACCAGTACACCACCATCATATATTCTGATGTCTTTTTACCATATTCCACAGACACCAGGCCCTGGTACATACCGTGTTTCTGATCCAAATACCGTCAAGATGAAACTTCCTGCGTATTCCATGACTGGTCGCAACTGCATGCCGGGTGACAATACCCAGAAACCAGGCCCAGGAGCACATTCACCAGAAAGGGTAACCATGTGTTTGTTTCTGATTCATTCTGATTATCAGTAAATCTGCCAGCTTCAGTATACCATACCTAAGTTGAATGCATGGTTGATGTCAATTGTTTAACCCACTGAGTGCCTGGTGTTGGACAGATCGTGTAAAATAATAACCTCCACATACACTAACCACCGTGCTATATACAATCTGTGTTTGTTTCTTATAGGTTTATATCAACAAGAAGATTGCACCAAAGTTTTCATTTGGTATCCGCTGGTCTGAATACACTGCACCATTAATAGCTGAACCAATTGACTGAAGATGCTGTGCATTATAATATGACTTCAATATTTAGACAAATTATCATATCATACACTTGTCTTTAGACACAATATTTTTGTATATATTATGGGTTTTTGCCTGCTGCAATCAGCTTGCTAATTATACTTTAAAGATGAGGTCAAGTCTGTTCTGCGCAAGTGACTGGGCCTTCTGGTTTAATTAAACAATACCCACATTTCAGGATTTCAGGTTTTGCCGAATGTTAATGACAAATGTTGTCAGTTGACAATGTCTATTCAGATGACATTGACAGCGTATTTTTCAAATATCATACATTCTATGATTTAATTATCAAAAAGCTGAATTAGCACGATTAATCGTTGAGTGTAAACGTGACTTAATCTATATTCATTTGAAAGCATAGCAAACCAGAATGATGTTAGATGTTAACTAAGTGCATTAATTATATTTTATTATAAATATGGCGTCTGCAAATGTAAACAAACTGCATGCACATCTACTGAATGAACTTGACTGCCTGATGTAAGGTCAATTGAGACTAATATACTAGAGCTAGAGTTATGTTTTTGGTGGCAAATAAATAACAGAGAGAGATTTACTTGGATTTGCTTGCTGGTTGACGTATGTCTACATTTCTAAAATTGTCCATTATCTGTCGCCCTTGTGGGGCTTCCCGAAACCTACACTACAGTACCAATTAATGATGATCATAATAATATGAATGTTGGATAATGATGCACAATGTTATAGATGGAAAGTTCAAACAAAGTCAAAGTTCCTGATCCAACATTTACTGGAGATGTAGGACCTATATCATGGCCTCGTTTGAACAGGCCTTTAATTAAATTAAACAAGTCCAGTTTTTGGATGATAAGAAAAGTGTGTTAAAATGCATGAACTGATATATCACATTACAATAAAATATCAATTAATTGTACTTAGACTGTGTGGGAATAATTTTTGCTTGTCACTCAATTAGGGATGAGCCGATTAGTCGGTACGGCCGATAAATCGGCCGATATTTGGCGTTTTCAAAATAATCGGTAATCGACCGATTATTTTTTATAATCGGCTATTTGCCGATATTCACAATTTTTCATTTTTTTTAAGAAAAATAACTCTATAATCTAGTAATGTACACTCCGTCTTGTTTTTGACACTTTTGTTGCGCGTATTTAATCCCATATTGCGTTACTCAAGGGAATAAGACCACTTGTAAGTTAAAATCTTATCACTGTGTCTTAAACACAAAATCACTGAAAATTTTTTAGCCAGTTTTACTGTTTAAAGACGTGATGTGGAGTGTTTTAAATTGCTAAAACTAGTACGTCAATTTGTGGCGTATACACAAGTATTAAAAGTTGTCAAAAAACCGGTATCTGGCGCTTGTACCGGGTTTTAAACTTTTATTCAACTTTTACACAGAAATATCGGCCATAGCCGATTAATTGGCCGATTATTTTTTTATATCGGCTCCAATATATCGGATCGGCGAATCGGCTTTTTTCTGGTATCGGCTTTTTTCTGGTATCGGCTCATCCCTACACTCAATTATGACTTTCACAGCAACTGAGGGATGCATGGTTCTAGATCGATCTAGCCTTTGTTATTTTAGTCAGTAATGCCAGATGATTTTACTCATCAAGGGGAAAGTACTAGGATTAATGGTTTACATTTCTGCAGCACACAATTTCCTGTTTTGTCGCTGCCAATTGGGGGCAGCCACCTCCAATATTTTTCAGACTGTAGTTTCAAACAATGCTCATAATTAAAGATGATGTCCACTTCGTTCTGCGCATCAGTTCTGCTCATAACAAATGGGGACTCATTGCATGGGGACCCTATCTGAACAAATGGGGACCCATGGCAAATTTTGCATCTTTCAAACTTTTTTGAATTGAAACGTAGAGTTTATATTCATTTACAAGCATGGCGAACCAGAAAAGTATTAGATATTCAGTTAGTATATCATATTTTACAAATATAGCGGTTAAAAACGTAAATAAAGTTCGCACATGCACACACAAGTGGACATCATCTTTAACTCTTAATTGGCACTCAACAGGTTAACCATAAACCATACTATTGCTTAACCCATTGACTGGCAGCACTCTCCCCCTGCTGAGTAAAATTGTCTGGTGTTAGACAGAGTAAAATAATGCACATTGCCACTTAAAGGGTTAAATCTCATGTTAACCCATTGAGTCAGAAATTCACAATGCACAGTTCCATGATTGTTATTTTATACTCTGTCTAACAGCAGACTATTTTACTACAAGAAAATGTTAATGGTTAATGTTAATTGTTACTATTTTATATAACTTTACATACCGGGAAAATAGTCCCTAGACACATACCCTGGGAATTATGACCTTGTAATAGTATCCTGACAATTAATACAAACAGACGATCTGAATAATTTATAATTATGAACTACAGTGTTTGCTACAGTAACGATTTAATATACTCGCGAAAACGTGTTGAGCAAGACGGAAGTAGCATCGGACAGATTTGTGATGAAATGTGGACAAACCGATAAAACAACGCAAGAATTTTGTTGTCAAGACGATTTCAAAGAAACTACAATTTATTTATGTTTATATACGTCAAAAAATACGTGGAACGTGTCAGCGTGACTTGATACTGCGATTCTATTGCGTTTTACAAAGTTTTTAGTTATCCTTACCATTTCATATCAAGGCAACTTAAAGTCTAATCCTTGTACCACGAATTTCCATCATTTTCTTGCCTTTTTCGTCGAATTTATTGAAACAATTTGCCTTCGAAAGACCACGAAAGTAAGGAATTTACAGCGACCGGGGATTCAATCCACGGAGATTACCACCGTCGGGGATTTATTCTACGGTAAAAGTCTACCTAGGAGATTCTGACCTGGATTTTTCACCGATCGGAAGTTTGTTCTACGAGAAGTGAACCATCGGGGATTTGTTCTACGGGAAAAATCTACCGACGATTATCGTTCTCGGAGATTGTTCCCTCTACCCAAGGTGAAAAGTACCCGGGGATTTATAGTTACCTCACGCAGGCGTCACGTGGGCAGGTCAGAGGAAACCCCATTTGGCCTTCGGCACGGAGATCAAAGGAGACGACCGCCTATTGAAAATTTTTCTTGTTTGTGTTTCTAACTGTCAAATTTTCTTCGCCATGGACGACCAAGATGAGAGCGTTCAAGGACTTATAGATGGGCAAACAAAGCCCCCAAAAGACAGGTAATGTGCCGCGTAGTTTTGGCGTTTGAATATTTGATTTCTTGAGGTTTTTCTAAGGCTTGAAATTTATCCTCGATAATTTGCTGAGCTCTGCACCTACAGTCATCTGTGAATCGCGTTTGAAAATTCGAAAAATAAAAATGCATCAATCGTCTCATTTCTAACTGGGTAAAACCCGCTGTATTTGAGGGGATTATACTAGTTTTTTAAACCCCTTGGGGACTGCAAATTCGCCAGATTTCAATGGGATTTTAGGCTGTTGTTTAGAACGATTTCGCATGCATTATGGCATCCCCCTTTGGGGCACCTGTTAATTATATAGCTCAATCTTCAACACTGTTCACTTGTGTCCAACCTTATTTGCTATTTTTCACAAACGCATGTAGAACAAAAGCTTCCTGGACATTCTTGTCAAAGTCTTAAATCGCCAGTTTAAAGTGTGATGAAATCTTATAGTTTATATAAGAGGACCTTGACTGACTGACTGCTTTTGACCTTGTCCTTGTCCGGGCGGTCAAACAGATTTCCTTTTCTGGATCGTGCCGCTTTGTAAGTTTGCCAAAACATCAGACATGGTGTAGTATAATACTGTATAGGGTATTTGCCTTTTATTTTGGTGCTTTTGGAGCATAGGTTTTGTATGATAGAAATGTGTTCCCCTTGTAAACATGTCGTTTGAATATGATATACTGTAGTTTCATTTGATATGCTTTTATATAAAGTGAGGTCAACTCGGAGCAAATCAATAGCGTTTATTCCGTACAAAAGGCACTATGCTTCAATTTATCTGTCCTAGGTCAGTCCTAATTGGTATAAATTGGCGTTAAATTTCTAGACTTTCCAGAATTCGAAATGACCTAACTACCGCATAGAATTTATTTCAAAGGTCATATTGTATCACGTGCGTTATGAGTGTTGATAATAGTGTTCAGATGACAGGGAGACCTCATTATCAAGAATCATTCACTGTGACTAACTGTATGGGAAGAACACTGTATAGAAAAGATTTGAATAGATAAATATGCCTATTTAAGCCTTTAATAATAATACCATCATCATTCATTGCCTGAGAAAATAACACACAGTATATTTGATATTGTACCCCTTATCAGGGTATTATATTTCAATGAAAATAGTAATCTTACCTCAAGTATTATTACCTACCATTCAAGCTCATAAATTCCCCCTGTCACAGGAAATCATCACATGATTGTTAGTCATGTGTTTTATATTCCAATATATGAGCAAGGAATACAAAGCATGCTGTAGCCTGCGAACAGTCTCTAAGATACAGTAGCTTGAACCTTGGGGCTTAACCATCCTATTCATTTCCTAGACTGTTTGCAGGCTAAGCATGCTACTGTCTGTTACGTAGGCACGTTTAGGCAAGCAGTGGACATGCATATACCTATTCCTTCACGAGTGGCAGATTTTATGAACCACTTTTTGCTTATGGTGTAACTGTTTGGTGCAACTGTTGTAACTTTAGTCGGTTTTCAAAATATTGCCAACGCACGTGTTCTCGGAAACACTGACCATGCCACGTAATATTCACTCCACCTGCGATCGATTACAGGGTTATATCCTCAACCCATACTATAGAACAAACTATTGAACATTGCCCCTTCGACAAATACTGCAAAGCACCAGACACAAAATTTCAACATCTAGAATCGTCACTACAACACTTGAAACACGAAGTAAAGAAAGTAATCAATAAACACAAGTCACGTTCTCTTCCTCCCAACCTCACCAGAAACCAAAGAGAAACCCTGTCCGAATTGACCACACTTAAGAAAGCCCGAGAAGTTAGAATATCGGTGAGCGATAAAGGTGGCGAATTCGTGGTAATGAACAGTAATCTAGATAACACATTAATGGAGAAACACCTTGGAAATGAATCACTTTACCGACCATGCCATGATTTAACGAAGAAAGCTGAAGAGGAGATCAACGAAATTTGGGAATACGTTGCAAAAAAGAATCGTGTTAACGAAAGATCCATTGGAAGATTAAAAACGACCCACAGTGTTTGTCCTGTTATCTACCTGCTAACCAAAACTGGAAATTCCAGAACAATATACCGAGTTCTAACCCTGATGACATCAAAGTACGACCAATAATCTCTGGTTGTGGTGGTCCTGCCGATAAGGTCTCCTGGCTCATACAAATGATATGCAACCCTCTCCTGCAATTCGTGAAAGCACATCTTAGAAGCACTCAACACCTATTGAATAATCTACGAAGCATTAAGAATGGAGAGCTGAAGAACAAGCTCCTGTTCAGTCTAGATGTGGTTTCCTTGTATCCAAGCGTCGATAACGACGCAGCAATTGATACCTTACGTTTATATCTAGAGAAAGAAAAGAACAATATCCAACTTTATCAATTTTCGGTATCTGATATCATTCTACTCACCAAAGCTATCTTCGAAAAGAACTGTCTCTCTTGGAAACGATCTTATTATCAACAGCGTCGAGGTCTGGCTATGGGAAACCGGTTAGCCCCAATACTCGCTATACTCTTCATGGACAGAATAGAAAACCAAGCAATCTATTCCGACCAGGCTCTTTCCCTTTCCTTGTATTATCGATATATTGATGATTGTATTACACCTGCTAGCAGTCCAGATGAAGCTGTAAAGATCCAAGACAAGCTTAACTCACAAGACCCATCAATACGATTCGAAATCGAGTTGCCAGGTGAAGATGGATTCCTCCCATTCCTCAACACAAAAGTCAAGGTGAACGAATCTGGAACAGTGGAGACGGGATGGCATACAAAATCGGCAAACAAAGGAATAATGTTGAATGCAAAATCACACCACCCAGAACAAATCAAACGGGCCGCTATCGGTAATACCATCAAGACATATACTTCCATATGTTCAACCGACGCCTTGTTTGAAGAAGCTGAACGGAAGTTTGAAAGAAGAGCAAGACGAAACGGCTATAGCAACAACTATATAAAAAAAGTCCAGACAACAAAACGAAAACTGCCAAAATCGAAAGTTGAACCTCTTCCCACATTCACAATTCCATTCATTTCCAGAAGCTTTACGACTGACATCCGAAGAGCGGTCCAGAGTTCAAACCTCAATGTCAGAATAGTTGAAAGACCACAAAGCTCGCTTAAACAACTCCTCGTAGAATCGCGACCTTACGATAAAGTATGCAGAGACACCTCTAAATGCCCAATCTGCAGCAACTCAAATGCTCCCATTCAGTGTACACAGAAAGATGTCGTGTATCAAATCAACTGTGACCTTTGTGGAGCAACGTACGTAGGCGAGACAGGCAGACCATTGGTGGTTCGATACCAAGAACATTTTTGTTCCGCAGCAAACCCGAAAGCAAAGTCCTATAAAAACATGGCTTTCTCGAAACACTACCTCGACCAACATTACGGACAAAAACCTAAACTGTCTGTTAAGATTTTAAAAAGAACAAAAGGATCTGTAGAACGGAAAATTACCGAAGCATTATTCATCCAAAAGCTTAATCCAGACTTGAATGGAAAATACGAACAGTTAAATATCTTAGATTTCGTAGTTTAAACATTAAAGACAGAATTAACAATTTCTAATTTTTATTAGAATTAATCGGACACGTGCACGTAATTTATATGCTTACGCAATTTCGCACGCGCGAATAACGGTCGCAATTTTAACGTTTATGCATGCGCATGTTAGTTTAAATTCAAATTGTAATCCTACCTGAAGATGGAGTAAATCTCCGAAACGTCGTTTGTTAATGAAATAAACATTTAAAAAAGTCTTACTGTGGTCTATATATTGAACACAAAATATACAGGGTTATAAGCACGGTCAAACATAAAAAACCCGAAAAGTGCCGGCTGAAAAAACCTTAGTGAAATAATTTTCTAAAACATGTCCCAAACCACAGTAAAAAAGCTAGCCATAGCAACAGGTTATCATGCTGTGCAATATGATGATTTGCATTATTCAATCCTTTACAGGGCTGCAAATAAATATTTGACTTGACAGGACATTTGTCCGGTCACTTTTAATTTTGGTCGGACATAACTTGAATTTGGTCGAACAAAAACCAACACCACTAAATTTGGTCGAACATAACTAGAGACCTAAATAAAAAGTCATAACTAGAGACCTAAATAAATAGTCATAACTAGAGACCTAAATAAAAAGTCTACTAAGATTTCTAGTAGGTCTCTAGCCCGCACTCTACAATTATTGTAAATATACTACACATAAATTTATTGTACATGGGGAAAATTTTTAAAATAAAAAAAAATAAATAAATAAAATAAAAAAAACAACAACAAAAAAACTAAAAAAAAAAACAAACATATATACGTCACAAGATATATATAAGTCACGAGACAAGTATGTATAAATTTTATTGCAAAATGCAAATTGAGTGAATTTGCAATCGGATTTTGTCACAGCAAAAAAATGTATGTGACAATTTTTTTTTGTGATCTGACCAATGTCCGATCAAAATTACTTTTGCTCGGACATTTGCCAAATTTAGTCGGACATTGTCCGATGTCCGACAGTAATTTGCAGCCCTGCTTTAGAATTGTATTTTCTTTAACCTATTTATGATGCAGATTTATTAGCATAGCATGACCAGTTCCCATGGCTAGCTTTGCCAAGTGCTCGTTAAAAATATACATTGATTTGTTGGCACGTTTGAAATTTTGAATGTAATCATGTTAGATTTAATACTGGCAAGATGTACAACACAATAATAAGAGATTAGACTGCACGTGTAAAAATAAAAATACATGAGGAAGTATTTTTTAACTGTGAAGTACAAAGAAATAGACTGGTTTTCCTGTGTGTAATTAAACATAAACTTTTGATTATTTTGTTCCAAACACGTATGTAAGTGATTTTTAAGGTGATTTTTAAGAGTTTTTCCTGCCAGTTTGTTGAATACCTGCCTCATCAGAGTTGATAAGAGGGGCTTTCTAATTTGTCTTCAAAATCATACCTAATTTTAGTGTGCAGTGATAACCAATTTGTGCAGTGATAAAAGTAAAATGTGCAGTGATAAAATGTAAAATGTGCAGTGATAAAATTTGCTTTGATAAGTTGTTAATTAACACAAGAGAATGATTCAATTGAAATTGAAATGATGACTGCCAAATTAGCGAATTAAATAATAGTATATGTTTTTTGTACGAAAATCATGAGATTCAGGCAATTTTTAGTTAATATCTGGCTTTTTGTATGTCCGGAAAAAATTTTTGACCCTTAAAATGGTACACTGACCAAAATTTTTGGGGGGACCGGGGGGGGTCGCCAAAAATTTCCGAATATTATGAAATTTTCTTAGTCATTCGGAAATTTTTGGCATAAAATATGCAGTGATTAAAAATTCTTAAAATTAGGTATGTTCAAAATTGTTGTTAATTAACTTGAAAGTATACCTATAGGGAGCTCAGCATGAGGCGCAGGGTAAATTTCAAGCTATGATTATGTAAAATGAGCAAAATTCACAACATACTTGCCAAAACTATAAAACAGGCCAGTTGTAACAATTGTCGTAACAAGTAATGGCACAAAGATTAAAGAGGACATTCCGAGGCACACAAAACTCCATGACAGGTAAGCTGGAACTATGGGCATTGTTGTCTTTGGAGTCGATTTTTTTCTTTGTTGCTTTTCATTGTTGACATTTTCTTTCATAACTGAATGATTGTGCTCTTTATTCCTCGGGCTTTAGGTTTACTTAGATAGACTGTCAAGGCTCTTTATTTTATTACTGTTAGTTGCAAATGAACATTGAAGATGAAAACATTGGCTATAGTCACATGAAATTTTGCTGTTTAAAAGTAAACAATTTGACAAGTTTTTATCTGACGAGGCAATAAAATGCTTATGACAAACATTAACCCATGAAGTTGCAATGTGTCCTACTTTAGTATTTTACTCTGTCTAACACAACACAATTTTACCTGTCAAGAGGAGGCTTCGAACGTCTTGTGCACTAATGGGCTAAAGTTTCACATAAGAGTTGATGTTTTCATGTGTGAATGTGCAACTGTTTATTCATGGCAAAATGTTTGTACCAAATATGTATTTCATAATCACATCTCTGAATATGGACCTGGATTTGCTACCAAGTTCTAATACTGTGTGATTAATATTTTTCTAGATTCAATGTGGTCTATCTCATCATTGTATTGCAAGGCATTGGGACATTATTGCCATGGAACTTTTTTATTACAGCACATACAGTAAGTTATTAACCCATAAACACCCAATTATAGTGTTGCATTGGTCATGGTTGAGAGGCAGGACCAGGTATAAAAGTTGGACCAAATCACTAGTCGGACTGACCTTAACCCTAAACTTAACCCTGACCCGAAGCAGACTAACAATCCAGTACAACGTTTATACCAGCCTGGTTGAGATATTCTGCTTATTCCATCGATGCCTGGTTGGCCGACTATCATCATAAACCTACTTTGTGTCTTTATATATAATCACACTGTTTTATTTCTCTTTCCAGTATTTTTCCACAAAATTAGATGGCACTCGCTACAAACACGAGTTTGAAAATTTTTTTGCATTGGCCGCATTCGGACCAAATCTGGTGGCATTCTTCTTGAATACGATGTTCAAGCACAAGTAGGTTAATCCTTAGTCAAATGAACTCATCAAGCTGAAAGCTATACTACAGCCTTAGTTGTAAAAAATGCCATATTTTCAAATGTGGATAACTTTAACCTTTCCTATCAATTTCCTAACCAATTCTTTATAGGGTTGCACTAAAGATTAGAATTCTAGTCCCACTATTTGTGATGACAGGGATATTTGTCGTAACAGCAGCTTTGGTGAAGGTTGACACAGAAAACTGTAAGAGAAACTATTTTCACCTCAAAGTACTGATTATGTTGTAATTTATGTAACACTTGTTGTAATTTTGATTTTTTGGTACACTTGTTGTAATTTGGTATTTCCAAATTTTACTTTTCAGGGAAAGGCTCATTCTTTGCAATTACTCTTGTAACCATGGGTCTTATCAATGGTGAGTACAAAAGGTGTACGAGGTACAGTTTAGCAGTTTTTTAAGTCCACATTTCTGCCTCTTACTTCTAGGTCTCTGGCAGCCAATTTTTCCATTCCTGTTGTCATTCAGCTGCTTCTTACTGTAGATGTAGTTGTTTAGGTGTCCATTATCTTTCAAATAGTCTAGCGAAGACAGATTGAAAAATACAACGAAAGCCTTCCTTTCACGCCCTCTTCCCAGTATATCTGTAGGCTGTTTTAATATGACGCCTGGTTAGTTATATCCAAATCCATTTGTTGTTTTGATGAGCCAATGCTCTGAACACCTGCTCCGAAAGACCTTCATTATCTTTCTGCAACACCTGCTCTGAACATTCCTATTCCCATGCAATAAATTACTTAGTTGTATATTTTTTATTCTCCCAGCATTTTGTGCTGTGTATCAAGGTGGATTATTTGGTTTATCTGGCATGATGCCACCGAGGTATACGCAGGCGTTGATGACCGGCCAAGGCATTGGTGGCATTTTTGCTTGCGTCGCTGACATTGGTTCAAAACTAGGTACAAAAACTACATTTACTGTAGATATTGACCTTAGGCTGTTAATTTCATTGGCTCAATATGTACTTGAAACAGAGCATCTGTCAATATGAGCATTCATATTACTGATCACCCACCCATGTTTTCCAGGCACTTCTGATCCCATCCGCAGTGCGTTCTGGTATTTCCTAACAGCCGTTGTTGTGTTGTTTGCATGTATTGTATCGTATCTTGGTCTGTATAGGATTGTAAGTAGCAGAACCACTTTAATATGTCATCTTACATGTGCTCTACTAATACTGCTTGTATTCTAATGACCACTCGCCTTCATTATTTTCTACTTAGAAATTTTCACAGCACTTTCTCGAAGATCACAGGGAGCAAGTACAAGTTGCTGGTAAGATTGAAATTACTGAACTATTAAGCAACCCACTCTTCCCTTTGTGAGTAAAATCGTCTTGTATAAGACAGAGTGAAATAGGCGTTAAACAGAATAATAAAGGGTGCATCTGGATTAACGCACTGGCATTAACACACTGGCATGTGAGGATGAAATTCAGGTTAATGTACAGTATGGCTCAATATAAATAGACGTTTATCTGCAAATAGCGTATAAACTATTAAGTCTAGTGAAATAGTGTTACCATCGTCTATTCACAACCATAAGTACAGTCATACTTTCTTGACAAAATGTTGTTACTTCCGACACTGTGCCGTTAGTAAATATTAACCAATATTAATAACAACAACTAATAAATAAACAAGACTCATCCTTTGACAAAAATTTTGTTAACAACTAATGGAATGACATGCAGTTATTGCTTCCTGTTTACATGTTGACAACTTGACATGTTGTTACATTGTCGACTTGTAAGCAAATGAGGCAACTATTAACAGTTAATGATTGTACTAACCACGTCAATAATTGTAGGTAGAACAAGTATACAACCTGATGGCTTTAGTGATTCGGGTAAACCAAGTACGTTGAATATAACTGCTCTTTTTAGCACTCGCATAAGAATACCTATGCACGGAAACTGAAAATTATTACGTAACGGTACCACAATTTATAAAATGGGGTAATCAATGATTTCAATGGGTGAACCAAACTTTATTTTAGAGAGCCAGAATATTGGTTCTGTTAGATCAATTTTCATAATCTTAGTATCAAAAATTATGTCTTATATTGAATTTTCGATGCCCGCTAATAATCAGCTGTGAAAAAAATCTGGATTATGGCTATTGCATTTTTTCCGGGTTTTTCCGCAATTCACTCAGGGCTGCAGCAGCCAGCTACTTCGGCATAGAGTGGCCGTAATTATCTATTAAATATTCTCTCCCAGTATTAACAGACCCAGTCGAGAAAGATTTGGCAGAGTATGAAGTCAAGATTGAGAAAACAACGCCACCATTTGCTTTTATCATGAAAGAGGTAAGATGAAATGTGACAATAACAGCAGAAAGCTGCGGAATTGAGAGAGCGATTCAACTGTCTGAAAATACAAGTATAAAACTTCATCAGGTTGTTGAATTCCTCTCAACGTGAAACAAAAATCTCGTAATCGATCTTCTTGTCTCTAGATTTGGCGAACTGCTTTGGCAGTATTCTTGGTATTTATGGTCACTTTAGCTGCGTTTCCCGCTGTTCTTTCTGGCATCAAGTCTGAAAATCATGGCGATGGCTCACAATGGACAGGTGAGAAAATTACACCACGTTTAATACGAAGATAAAGTAGGTAAAAGCATTTTGCAACTATTTCGGAATACATAGTTTTAACGACCGGTATTGAATGCTGTATGTATTTTTTATTCCATTTCAGGAAAATATTTTACTGCTGTGGTCTGTTTCTTGATCTTTAACGTTGGTGATTTTTGTGGAAGAGTGACAGCTGGTTTTGTACAAAAGGTATAACTGGGATCTAACATTCATCTTTTCACAAACTAACATATATACCGTACAGTACATCGAGACGACAATTCATTTCATACAGACAAAAAATACAGGCTGATGAATTGACCTTCCTAGTTTTATGTTAAAAGTGGGACTTATGTGTAATATTTGGGTCATACCAAAAATCATAATTGGGGTTAATCGCACTTTAAAACACATACATGATAATTTTTCTTGTAACTTTTTTAGCCTGGAAAAGATGGTTTCTGGCTTCTTGGTTGCTGCGTACTAAGATTTGTCTTTCTTCCATTGTTCGCATTCTGTAACTTTCATCCACGTAGAACGAACGGCACAGTGCTCTTTGCAGAAGATTATTGGCCAATCATATTCAATGTATTATTTTCTGTTAGTAATGGCTATCTGGGCAGTCTTTGTATGATGTATGGACCCAAGTAAGTTCGCTAAATTGTTCTGTATTTAGTAACTTACTAGGCTAGTATAAGGTAGGTCTACCCTGTTAGTTCTCGTCTGTTTTCCTTAGGGGCTGTTCACATGGAGCAGGGCTGGCCCGGGGGATGCGTGAGCTCATGACGTGTTGCTTGCCTGAATAGCTATGGGGGTCAGGAAGCATACTGGCACTGAATAAAGATCCATACAAAAGGGCCACTTACGTCGGAAGCCTTCAAGTTTCTGTCCTCGCGCATGTCGCATTACGCATATTGGCCGCCATTTTCCTAGCCAGTCAATGACATTTTCTGGCCAATAAACACGCTGTACTGGCTGGCTGCTCCGCCTTCTGGCCAGTAAACTGCACAACGTGCCCTTGTTTTTTTACTTCTGGCCAGTAAAAAAACAAGGACACGTTGCACCGCTGAGTGGCCCTTCTGTTACACAGGAAAAAACGCCTAGCCTGTAACAATGTTGTTGAAAACAGGCCTGAACAATATTTTGCTGCCCATATTGTTCCTGACTGTTAACAATATTGTTCAGCATTGTTCAGCCGAACAACGCTGAACAATATTGTTAACAGCCAGGAACAACATGGGCAGCAACATATTGTTCAGGCCTGTTTTCATCAACATTGTTACAGGCTAGGCGTTTTTTCCCGTGTACTGATCTTTATTCTGTGACATTGGTCATTTGCGCATTTCCTGCGTTTTCAGAGCCAAATTTTGTTTTGGCCTTAAATCTCTGTATGAAATCTCTGAATGAATTTATATCTATGTAATTCTCATATAAAGCTCCAAAACTCAGTTTTGGGACTGCCCATTCTGAGATGTACAACTACCCATTTTGGCAAATGCGAGGCCTTAGGTTGATCCCTGCCCTACTAATGTCTTTGCATATCTCTAGGTTGGTAGAAAGTAAATATGCTGAAACAGCAGGTACGATGATGGCATATTTCTTATCTCTTGGTCTTGGGATCGGTGCAGCCACATCATTCGGTATTACAAAGTCGATATAAACTTCAGCAAATGGAGTTTTGTCTAATGCGTCAAGACAAGCTCTCTCGTTCATGGGCGATAAAACAGTCGACATGTTTGTGTGTTACGTCATCATTTGTGTACTCGTGTGTGGCTTGGAGACTTGTAAATAATATGTCCAGGTGGACCAATTTCTATGCTTAGAAAACTAGAAGTTTAAATGAACTTGCAGCAGCGTGGATTATAACGGTTGATAATCGGCTCTTTGCCGAACAAAAACACTAAATGCCTTTATGGTACCAGATATGCAGAAAATTCTAAACCATATCTGTGGGACCAAGAATTTTTCAGTTGCATGGATCTTTTGGACTGCTTACCAAAAATTAAGTAATGTAATTGATCATATGGAAAGTGAACGAGCTATCAAATTGATACTCGAAATATTGAAAAGCTGGCCGACTATTATTAGCCAATGCCCGAGCAACTGAACAGTTAGCCTTTTCCCAAAAGAGATCACAGTGCATTCTGGGATCGTTTGGAGAGACAAAATATATGGAGACATGCGTCAAATATGTGAAAGAGTAGAAGTATCTACTATTAAATATCAACTTTTTAGACGTCCGATAATGAAATATCTCCTTTTTACATTAAACTTTTAATTTAAATGTGTGCTGCCATATTTCTTGTCCCTCCAACAAGGGATTCGCGCGATTAGACCCAGGACTTTGGGAAATGGCTAATTAGACATTTGTCAGACTCAAGCGGAATTGTTATAATCCACACTGACTGGCAGTCATTTATGAAATTGGTCTACCAAGTCATTTGAAGGCTTGTTTACACTATCAAAGTTTCTGTGATCACAGTAGGAATTCTGCATAGATAAATTCTAAGTTTTGAAGGATTTGTAACAGATTCTTGAGGCAGCTGACTCTGTGTTCAACACTAAGTTCCTTCAAACATTTCTTACAAATCTTTCAAAACTTAGAGTTTACCTATATGCAAAATTCCTACTGTGATCACAGAAACGTTGCTGATGTAAACTAATAATTCCTATATTGTTGTACTTATTCACTGGACATTTGCATTATAGACTAAATTTTGATCTAGACAAAAATTTCATCACAGCTTGAAAGAGCATCACAAAATTAGTAATATTCCAAAGTTTCGTTGCGAAATGTTGTAAAATGCGGATAATATAGCCTTGCGAAATTTGCAATTTTCAGTCATTTTGTATTACAAACGGGAAATTGATGCCCCAACACCCGATTGGGCTGTCAATTTCCCGTGCGTAATACTAAATGACTGAAAAACGGCAAACTTCGCAAGGCTATATTATCCGCATTTTACAACATTTCGCAACGCAACTTTGGAAAATAACTAATTTTATGATGCTCTTTCAAGCTGTGATGAAATTTTTGTCTAGATCAAAATTTAGTCTATAATGCAAATGGTCCATCGCCAAGCCATATACATCAACACAACACAGAGTTAAAATTTGATATCTGATATCTGATGAAACATTAGAGTATTGAATATACTGTAGTAAAAGCCAATACAAGATAAAATAAATCAGTAATCAGATCATTGACATCGAGTTGACAAGACCCGCTTTCAACGCTATACTACGGTTATAGTCTAGATAAGTCAGTTTTTGACAAGTTTTTGAATTATGGAGGGATGATTTTAAATTATATAAATTATAAAAAAAAATATTAAAAAAAACATCTATTCTTTATACGTTGCACATCCACAAAAATACGTTCTAGTTTCATTGAATCACAGTTTTTTATTGTAAACATTGATTTAGGGAATTAAAATAATTTTTTATACTCATTAAATATTGTGTTTTGTGTATTTCCTAAAAATATTTACTGGATTTATTGGGGTTGGTTCGTGATGCCAAATATATAGATTATGATCGATTCACGTAGTGGATAAGCCCAAAGTAACCTATAAAGCCAGCCGCACACGAGAGGATCTCAGCGGTTAAATCTCGAGAGGTTAAATCCTGACGAAAAATATGCCGCCACGCGAGGCGGTTAGTTCAGCAAGATTCTCCTGTGTGGCAGGCTTAATGCCCAAATACACACGTAAAAATGCACAAGTTGTTACAGGTCTGCAAACAAGTTGTGACAAATCCGTTCCTAGGCTGCTTGTTCCCAGTTGTTGTAACAAGTTTGGAACAAGCTGTTAACAAGTTGTAACAAGCTTGATGGCATTATCAGACTTGTTACAAGGTTGTTCTAACAAGTTTGATACAGTCATGACATAACAAGAATGTTACAAGGTTGACGACACAAGGTTGTAACAATATTGTTATATCATGACTGTATCGGACTTGTTGGAACAACCTTGCAACAAGTCTGATAATGCCATCAAGCTTGTTACAAGTTGTTAACAGCTTGTTCCAAACTTGTTGACAACTTGGGACAAGCAGTGCGAACACAACTTGTTGACGGCTTGTTGGCAGACTTTCTAGTCTTTCTACAAGATGTGAGATTTTTGCGTGTGTAGAATATGCATGGCGTTTACTAATTCGGACATAATTATCCCCCTATACATACAGCCTACAAATCTACTTTCATTTTTCTTTCCTATTCTGCAGTCTATTACTATTCATTCGTTTTATTATTATTCCCGGTATTAACGACGCAGTGGCGATGCCAACCAGTTTTATGACAACGTTTATAGTTAAAAGTTCATCTATGGAGTTAAGTTCGCTTAACAGACATCCAGTCTGGACACAGATATAGTTATATGGAACCAAACCTGGTTAGAAAAATTATTTGTATTAATAAAGAAATGAAATATGTTTATTGCCGATCAAGCTATGAGTGGTATACTGCTCACGTAAAAATCTCACAACTTGTCAACAAGATGTGTTCGCAACAGGTTTGTAGCAAGCTTGTCAACAAGTTATAACAATGCTAACTATTTTATCACGTTGCTACAAGGTTGTCACTCACAACTTGTTGACAAATTGTTGAATTGCAGGACGATAACAAGTTGTTGGAACAACTTGTAACAAGTCTGTTGAGCTCAACAATCTTGTAGCAAGTTGTCAACAAGCTGTCAACAAGCTGGGAACAAGCAGTGCGAACACATCCTGTTGACAAGCTGTTGGAACAGCATTGCTACAAGTCTGCTGCAGGTTTGTTACAACTTGTGCGTTTTTACGTGTGTACCTGCGTAAAAATCTCACACCTTGTCAACAAAATGTGTTCGCACTGCTTGTTCTCAATTGTTGACAAGTCTGGAACAAGTTGTTATCACCTCATAACAAGGTTGATGAGGCCAGCAAACTCGCAACAAGTTGTTCCAACACTACAACTGAGATCGTCTGCAGATAACAAGTCGTTAACAAGTTGATGACAACAAGCTCGTAGCAACTTGTTACGAACAGCCTGTATTAGTCTTGTTGGAACAACTTGTAGCAAGTCTGTTACTGTCATCAACCTTGTAACAAGGTGATAACAACTTGTTCCAGACTTGTCACAACAACTGGGAACAAGCAGTGCGAACACATCCTGATATCGACTTGACAACAACCTTGTTACAATGTACAGTACAGAAACTAGTTTTTTTTCGTAAGGGACTGTTAATGCAAGTAATTACAAGTGATTAAACATATGATGTGTGTATTGCGATCCCCTCCCCTATAGGTCTGAAAGAAGGCTGATTAATGAACTAAGATTTTTTCCAACCATATATAATATTGCCTTTTAGTTAAGTAACTTGATATGACATTCAAGCAAAAAAAGGTTTGAGGAATGAACTCTGGGTAGAAAAATGTTGCAACCAAAATTTGGAACCCCCTCTCTCATGAACATTTAATGTTAAAAATGAAAAAAATACCAAAAGTTAAAATAAAAAATACCCAATGCCCATATTTATTTCACTACCGTACCTAACTGCAAAAGTTGCATAATGCATGAAGAAAATTTCAAAACTCAAAATTTGTAGGAAATAGCATTTAGAAATCATGGTCAATTTCATTCTCCTTAAAATAATTTGAGGTGTGTTTGGTCTTTTGAAGATTACCTACAATTATAATAGTTTTGTTTGTGGAAACACCACATACAAAACGTACTATTATATGTTTTATCGCCATGCAAACGTACAAAGAACTTATCTACAATAAGTTGAGCAAAAAATCACTCTGTAAACGCGATGCACACAACGTATCTCACACAACAAGACTTACCTATCAATACAGAAGGAAAGAATAATTTCAATGGAACGTCGAGTACCGGTGATGCCATATTTAGGAACCAGTTAGGACTCATTGGAAAGAAACGCAGGAAGAGAAGAAACCCAAATAGATTGTCGCCGTTTTCTTTTATCTGGAAGAGTAGAATGGTATTTTTTAGTTCTTTTCGAATGCACACACATTGCAGTGATTTAGCTTAGATTTCTGAGGGTTCAACTAACCTTATTTTGTAAATGATGAAGTTTTTGTGGGAAGTAATGAAGCAACACAGGTCTTCCCAAATATCTTGAGATGAGGAAACAACAGGAAGCACCAGTTGCAGTCAGGATACAGACACATGGAAGACCATGTTTTAGACCATACAATGCACCAGCTAACAAGTTCTGTAGGAATTAAAAAAATTATTTGAGATATTTTAGAAACATAAAATTTGGAATTTAGGGTTACTAGTCGTGTCATAGGACAGATTTTCCAGGGGGGTAAAAATTTAATAGGTGAGTGCAGATCTTTCAAAGGGGTGGGGTGGTTCAGGCTATTAGAGGTGTATATATTCTAGTAAGATTTTTCCAAGTGGTAACGTGGTTTCATACATGAAAAACAAAGTTTCAGTGTACTAATAATTCATCTACAAAGAAACACGAGGTGTCCGACATGGCTGAAATCTCGTACACTCGACTCAGTAATCAACTGAAATCAACCCCGAAATCAAGAAATCACGAGAGAAATTAGTCAATTTTGAAATCAGAAATCACTAAAACTTCATTATTATTGAGCCCACAGTCTTATATGACAGTGGTAACTCACAGAAATCAGGTTAGAAATCAGGTTAGAAATCACGTTAGAAATCGCATTATAAATCAACAGAAATCCGTTTAGAAATCAACGGAAATCAGATTAGAAATCAAGAAATCAGGTTCGAAATCACGTGATTTTGAAATCTTGTACGCTTCATATGACAGTGTCGGACCCCTCGAAGATACATTAATTTTGTTTTTTGTTCTTGAATGGAGAGGGGCTAAAAGAGAGGGGGCAAAATTGTTTTCCTGTATAAAGGGGGCTTTTTTAAGAGAGGGTGCTTATTCGAGTGGAGGTTCTCATTTGAAATGGAGTGCTTATTGCAGGGGGGAGGGGGGAGCGGGTTGTTGAAGATTTGCAGTAAATCTCAGATGACTAACCATGAACACAGAGCCGGGAATTGCAAATGTTTGCTTATAAAGATAAGCACTGCAGAAGAGGGCAAACACATAAAATGGTTTCTGTTGTTGATAGTTCCTCAATAATTTCGCCAAGTTCTTGAGCTCATTGAGGTTTTGTGGAAATTGGAACTCGCTATAAAAAACAAATGAAGAATTAATGCAGTATACATTATTAAATAATGTATATAAAATGAAAATCCACAGTGGAATTTTTATTATTTGCGACATATTGAATACTTTAATACAACTGCAATAACATGTCACATTATTAATTTCCCTACAAAAGGCTTTGAGCCTTGAAAATTTAATTTGTTACTTCAATACTTGTATAGTTCTATAAAAATAAAATATACACCAAATGTACAGTACAATTTTATACCTTTCTGAAACATTTTTGCTGCCATTATACGTCGTATTTCGAGCTTCTAATGCAGGTCTATAATGTGACAACGTGTACAAACATGTAGTAGCCGTTAAAAATATTAAAACAATTGTTAAAATTGAAAATATAGGACGTTCTAAAATAGAAGTGGCCATCTTGAATTTCAAATTACGCGGGCAAAACCTTTCGTTCATTGACCTGCGCTTGGGCATTCATTGGTTACCACTGATCTCAAGCGACATTGGATGGAGCTTAGTCAAGGTAATTGTCCTACCATGCGATGGGGACTAATTAACGCACTAATTAGGGCTTCGTTACGTGAAGTCATAATTAGAAGCTCTAATTAGCCACTCTAATTAGCCAGCCACTTTAATTAGCCATTCTAATTAGCAACAATTAAAACTTGCGCGCTTGCAAATCAGTTCGTTTTTCTCCTTGCACATCGCATTTTTCCACTGACAATGGCCGGAAAACAAGAAACCAGAAGTGCTTACAAGAATTTTCCAGCTGACGCGGATTTTCCAGATCTTTCGCAACACAATAACTACATGGCTAAAGCTCTGTCGAAGGAGATTTATGGAAAACTGCGCGACAAAGTTACTAAGAACGGTTTCACATTGGACGGCGTTATTCAGACCGGCGTTGATAATCCAGGTACTTACTTAATGAAAAAAAAAAAACAACGGAAAAAACCCTAAAAAAGTAACATTTTTGCAACGGGGATCGAAGAACAATTCGGTTGTGATTATTAAATTTGTATTAATAATTGATTAAGAAAATTGTTGAACCAGTTTCGGCTAATTGCAATTCCTGAAAGGAAATTGAAAATGTCATGAAAAAAACCCTTTAGTATTTATGTTTAAGATTGGTAAAGCTAAACTCAACTAAACCTTTTTTAATTTCAGCGCTTTCTCATATGAAAAAAAGGGTATTAAACCAACTTTATACTGAGTAGTTTGATGTAGTTCTTAACTGTTCTTCCTAGAAGTCCAGTGAATCTATCTCTTTTTGGTCTATTGAAACTACAGGAAGAAACCCGAAACTAAACTAAATTTATTTATGCTGGATAGCTATATATTAAAAGGTATCCCTTATTGCTCCAGTGTTACAATCCAAAGTGCGGTGCCCAATACTGGATGCACTCTTTTCGTATGCAACCGAGAAATTCAGATAATCAAACAACAATCCTCAACAGCATATGTGGTAGAAATCGAATCCCGGTTGCAGACATGAACAGCGCATGCACTAAAACCCAAGTTAAGAAGTTCAAAGGGAAATGTACTTTACTGTTCTGTACAGATGCTTTCTGTTTTGTCTTTTCTACTTTTCACAATATTGTTAATCCTTGTGTTCTTCGTTGTTAATCCTTGTGGTCATCATTGATGCATGGTCTTGAAGAATACTGGCCATTTTTCAAGAGCCTTGATTATGCATGCTAAATGTCTAATCCATCATTCTTCAGGCCATCCATTCATCATGACGGTTGGTTGCGTAGCAGGAGATGAGGAGACGTACGACGTCTTCGGTGACTTACTGGACCCCATTATTGAAATGCGTCATGGTGGATTTAAGAAGACTGACAAACACAAGACTGATCTGGATGCTACCAAACTGAAAGGTGGCGATGACCTCGATCCTAAGTACGTGTTCTCAAGTCGCGTGAGGACTGGACGCAGCATCCGGGGATACTCCTTACCACCACATTGTTCAAGAGCTGAGAGACGCAAGGTAGATCATTGAACCTTACAGTATCTCAATTGCACAGCGTATTTAGTAACTTACTCACTACCTAACTACTTCACTTGCTTACTACCTAATAAATTTATTAATTAACTAGTTTTCTAATTAACTAACCAACCAACCAATTACCTAACTAATCAACGAAAGTTACCTAACTAATTTCCGTAACTAATTAACATCCCAACTAATTAACTACCTACCTAACTAACTAATTAACTGCCGAACTAACTACATAACTAACTAATTAACTACCTAACTAATTAACTACCTACCTAACTGATTAACTGCCCAACTAACTACACAAGTAACTAACTACCTAACTAGTCAACTAATTACCTAACTAACCAACGAACTACCTAACTAATTAACTACCTAGCTAATTCAGTACCTTCGTTTACACCTCGACAAAGGAAGTCCTTAAAAGTTTTACCTCAGGACAAGAAGACAAACTGCAGAATCATCTGATTTTGCAAGGCTCCAAAGAACATCTATAACTTCACCTTAACTACCTAACTGACTAATTAACTACTTAACTAATTAACTATCTAACCAATTAACTACCTAACCAACTACCAAACTAACTACCTAATTAATTAACTACCTTGGTACTTAACTAACTATGATTCGTCATAAGGTCGAGAGAATCACGGTGAACGCATTGGATCAATTAGACGGGAAATTCAAAGGGAAATATTACCCACTGAGCAAGATGACAGAAAAGGAACAAAATCAATTAATTGATGATCATTTTCTCTTTGATAAACCTGTTTCTCCATTGCTGACTTGTGCTGGTATGGCGCGAGACTGGCCTGACGCGAGAGGTGAGATATGGAAGTAACTTTATTATTTTATCTAGTTTATAGTTAACCCTATTTTTCATTCCGACAGGAATCTGGCACAATAAGGACAAAAATTTCCTTGTCTGGGTCAACGAGGAAGATCACATCCGGGTCATCTCGATGCAAAAAGGCGGGAACATGAAGGAGGTATTTGAACGATTCTGTACTGGACTCCAGAAGGCCGAGGAGCTTATGAAGAAGGCTGGGTCCGAATTCATGTGGAACGAGCACTTGGGCTTCGTGCTCACGTGCCCTTCGAACTTGGGCACGGGATTACGTGCTGGTGTGCACGTGAAAATCCCGAACATGGCTAAAGACGAGAAACGTTTGGACGGAATCCTTGAGAAATTGAAGCTTCAGAAACGTGGCACGGGGGGTGTTGATACCGCGAGTGTTGGGGGTGTCTATGATATTTCCAATGCTGATAGAATTGGATTTTCTGAAGTGGAATTGGTCCAAGGAGTCATCGACGGTGTCAAGTTGTTGGTTGATATGGAGAAAAGACTGGAGAAGAGTGAAGCGATTGATGACCTCATTCCAAAATAAACAAATTACGTCATCATCAACCATAGACAAAATTCAGGAAATGTACATTCTCAAAGACATGATATTTAGCCTACTTTCGAAGCGGTGTCGCGGATAATTTCAGTATAACCATATTGCTGTTAACGATATAGGCCCACACTTGATAAATAGTTTCTTCAAGTTTCATTGAAACTAATTGCTTCAAGCATTTAAAAACTTAATAAAACGATTGTAGTAATGGACAGTGTGTGTAATGTTGACTGATGTTTTATATCACAGGTAGAAGCGTGAAGGGATAAACACCCCAACAATGTCTGCACTCCTAACTCTAGAAAAATTTGAAATTAGCAAGGGCATGCTGGTTCATGATTTATGGCATCTATATGGAACAGTAACGGTTGTGAAATATTGTTTGCTCTCAGTTTTTATGGAAAGGATTGGTTAGTCCTGAATACTAGTTGTCGATCTCCGAAGGATTCCGTTTTCCATACACTTTAGTAATATACTTGTTCAGTTGTCATACATATACGCGTCACTACATGGCTCCCAAACTGGAGGAAGACTATATGTAGTTTATATAATTTCACTTCCAAAACCTAATCTACTTAATATTTGCTATTCAGTTACCTATTTGTTCTATCTACGATGTCGTTACATCAACCAGGCAATTCTGAAATACTTCGATGAAGGAATGAACATTAGTAGGATCTTCCATCTTTATAGCAGACTTTAACTCGAGCGTCGTACTATCCAAGCTTACTTCACATAGAATGTAGCAGTCGGACTACAAGATAAAACAGATATATTTCTTATTTCTGAACCTTGACACATTTTCAAATATAATTTGTTTAATGTTTCTGATGTTACTCTGAGTGTGCATCCACACCGGGTAAGCTGAAAAGTTTGCCTGATCACGGTGGGAATCGAAACGCGACCTTTGGGATACTAGTCCAATGCTCTACCAACTGAGCTACGAGGTCGTGGACTAGTATTCCAAAGGTCGCGGGTTCGATTCCCACCGTGGTCAGGCAAACTTTTCAGCTTGCCCGATGTGGATGCACACTCAGAATAACATCACAAACGTCATATTGACCTGAGTACACAACACCAACACACACACACACACACTCACAGAAATCATAATTTGTTTAGTTCAGGTTTCCACCTGTAGTACACTGGGGTTTAGCCTGAACTGGATTTAAAATCTTCGTTGTCGTATATGAAACAGTAACCGAGGCTGGTTTTCATGCAGAACGAAGCTTATACCTGAGCGTAAAGGAAATATCGTATTTGTTCTGCACCAGGTGGTGTGGAGGCCATCGTGTATATTCTTCGATTTGTTAACAATTTTAAAAAGTCATGTTGGTCTGGTAGTTCATCAAGCTGGATCTCATACGATTCACTACATCAATGAAAGAATTTTGATTCAATATCATATTATTATATTATATTATAATAACAGGACACTAAACCATACGATACCATAACATACACCACCACCCCACCCCACCACAAACCAACAAACCAGGTTATCATGATACAGCATATATAAATACAATTCCAAGCACCACCATACCACACCATACCATACCATACCATTATCATAACAAAAGACCATACCATACCATACCACACCATGTCATTCATACCATACCAATAACCATGCCATACTATACCATACCAACCATGCCACACCATATCACACCATGCCATGCCATGCCATGCCACACTATCATACCAATGATATCGAAAACATCACACAATTCAACAGCCAACCATAATTGCCACAGTGCTATAGATCTTCCTTTACTTACGTTACAGGCAATTGCCTCCATAAAGTCTCAAACACCTCAGGCGATAGAAGATCAGGCTCTTCTACTAACTCCCGCAAGGGTGAAACACAATCCTCCGCCGAAATCTGATTTTCTTCCAAACCTAAATGTTCCTCTATTTCACCTAAATTTCCATCCAACGAAATTCTATCTTCAGGTAACAACACCGAACTCTCGTTGACTGGAATTAAATTTTCACCCATTGGATTAACACTGTCAGTGTCTAAATCGTTATCCAAATTATCATTCTGTGGAAGTCCTGTTGCTTCCTGTAAATCAATGTTACTGTCTCCTGGGTCTAAGTGATCATCTACCGGTAGCAGAGGTTCACTTTTAGAGACAGCACTTTGGTTTGAGCTATCTTTCACTACTGGTATGCTTTCTTCCAAGTTAGATATATTCTGATCAAGAGTAGCCAGGCTTTCTTTCGGCGAGTCATTGTTGTCCTTGGATTGACAAGGTTCGTTTTCAATTTGAACTAAATTTGTGTCAACTGCAACTGGGGCTTTCGTATCCTTTGATTGCTTCTAGAATAAGTTAAAGGCAAGGTAAGGCAAGGTAAGGTAAGGTAAGGTATGGTAAGAATGGTATGGTATGGTATGGAATGGTATGGAATGGTACGGTATGGTACTCACCGAACCTACTTTCTTTGAGTCATTCATGCTAGGTTTTTCGGCGTTGTCTTTCCGTTCATGTTCGCAAGCTTAAAATAAAATAAAGAATTATACATCAACGATTACAGTCCTCGAGTAATGGCCCGACTAAAAAATCACAAAGTGAGGAACAGCATTTAGGAACAGCATTTACCAACAGTCTTTACTTCAAGGTTCTCCTGCCGTGCAAATGCTGATGACGGTTGACCATACACAACAGACAAGGTATTAAACTCATCAAGTAATGATTCCTAAGTCAATGTAGATCAGATACACTTTTCACTATGCTTTTTACAGACTGGTCAATGCTATAGGATATTATATTAACAACGCTATGGCCTTTTTACCTTAGAATCAATCTTAATGATATTTGAACTGTCAATAAACTGCGCACTTCTCGGACAACATATCACTTCCTTGGCCTTGTTTACGTCAGTTTCAAGCAAGCGGTAGTATAATAATGCCCGGTCACGAATATCCATGTTGTACTCTTGTTCTGTGCGCAAAACAAAAAATAAATCAAACTGAGAAGGGTTCGACACGGTTATACAACAATAAAGGGCTGGCTAGCTTTAGAAGTGCATACAGTAGTACAAGCAAACAAATTCAACTACCCCTTTTAATATTTAGTAGCCTCTAAATACAAGACTACTAGATCTAGATACTAAATAAAAAATAACCCGAGCCTCAATCGTCAGTTTCAAGTCAGATCATGGGTTCGATTCTCGAAAGAGTCACGTAACGCTCTACCGTGGGTTTTCTCCGAATACCCTGGTTTCCTTCCACAGGGAATGTTGACAGGATGGGTTGAGAAATACCCTAAATTGACCCACGTATCGTAGCGGTGCTCCGTGATCAGATATGAGTCATAAGATGGCTGCCAGAATCGCCTTAGTACGCCTTCGACTCGATCAGGTTGAGCTGCGTCCTTCGTAATTCATTTCAGCTCTAAGCTGCGAGTAAGGATGATTAGCACACTCCATTTATAACTAGTATTTCTATAACTGCTGCTTGACCACCAAGGTGGAGTTAGGCATTAGAGAGGTTAAGATTGACGTTTACGACAGACCCGTAACCGCAAACGACAAACTTTAATTCGCACTTGAAAGTAAGTTCTACAAGTTTTTAGTCAATTCATTCTTCAATTTTAATGCACAAATTGTCCTAACTTCGAACAGCTTACAGTTGATCTCAAAGTACGACTTGAAGTTAGCGGTTACCGGTCTGTCGTAAACGTCAAATTTAACCTCTCTATTACCACAATACTACTCCTCACCTATGCAGTATTCTAATAAATGTCCCAGCATGGCTTGACACTCGGGAGGACGTTTGAAAAACACTTTCATACTTGCAGTCAGAAGTTCCAACTTGACTATGGGCGAGGTCTCTTTGTCAACGTCATCAATAAGAGTTTCCAATACGTATGGAGCTTCTGGAATACTCTATGAAAATGACAGAAATATAATGGCAGTCAAACACGAGCGAGAGTTGCAACTCTCATTCTCGTTTGACCGGGGTTTTGTTTAGTACTTATACTGGATCAATATGGATGGCCTTTACTGGACCTCTACGGAGAATAGTTTAGAACTTATATGAAGATAATTAACTGAATGATTGTAGCTTACATTACCTCACCAAATTCTCCCAACATCCATACGACACTGGCCTTCCCATCTGGAAGAAGATCAAGCTTCAAGTGTTTGCTAACGCTGGGTATCAGGGCGGAATATTTGTCGTATTTAATGATAAGGTCTAGTGAATGGAGTAAAAATTCGTACACTATAATGTAGATATATTAAAATCTAAACTAAATTGAAATCAATCAAAAAAGCAAGCAAGAGAATGACATGTACCTCTTAAAGCGGCCAGTGCATGCGACACAATTGAATCATCACGCGATCGAAGGAATGAAAACAACTTTTCAATACATATATCTGCAAGTGCTGGGTGTAGAAGCGCCATCATGCCAATATGATGGATGGAGTGAGATGCAGTTTCACTGTGTTGTGCATGGTAACTAAAAGGAAAATGATGAAATATTTTTACCATACAATTATCATGTCATGCCACACCATACCATACCATACCATACCATACCATACCATACCATACCATACCATACCATACCATACCATACCACACCACACCGCACCGCACCGCACCGCACCATACCACACCACACCACACCACACCACACCACACCACACCACACCACACCATATCATATCATACCATACCATACCATACTACACAATATCATATCATATCATATCGTGCCACACTACACACCATACCATACTACAGCATACCACAACACACCACACCACAACATACCATACCATGCCATGCCACACCATACCATGCCATATCACACCACACCACAACACAACACAACACACCACAACATACCATACCACACCTTAGTTCATCTAAGATTTGTTTTCCATTGGATTCGGTAACCAATTTTGACAGGACGCCAAGTTTCTTGATTTTCAAATACACTGGATCATTATATCTGAAAGACACAACATATTAA